CCGGTTGGCGTCATGTTCATGGTCATGAGTTCAATCGCCGAGGTGGAGGATTTGGCCAATACTTTCGCGAGCCTGGGCTGGTTTGTGCTGCTGAACTTTGTTGGCCAGCTTACACACTTCATTTGCCTCCTCATTTCTGTTGCCGTGTTGCGGGTGAATCCCATCAGGGTTCTAAAGTTGTGTGGTCCTCCCTACTTCATCGCGTTTGCAACTACCAGCGGGTAAGCTGACGCTTAAGCTGACTTTGTTTAGCTATGCCAGCGTAGATTACATGAGCACACCTAGCCAACACTAATTCTAGGATCGTATAAAAGGGAACTAAGACTAATGGAATTTTCAAGGGTGAGGCCTCATTGCGCGAAATATGTGCGAGGAAACATTAAAAAATAGGTATATCTTCGCCAAATTTATTTTTCTGGGTGGACTAGGTTGAGAGCGAGATTTGAAAACATTAACAAAAGCTCTCAAGAGACAAAATGAATGTGAATTACAAAGACCACAATATAGCAACTTTGTACACGTCAGTGTATGCGTGTGTAGTAGCCCATAACTTTAAAATAGTAAAACAAACCAAGACATTATATATGTGGTTAATATCCAGAGGGCCTACAAAACATATCCTTATCCTTGACTTGCTATTGAAACTTTTTGTTCAGGGTTTGTTCGCACGAGTATTACTTATAAAAAACACATAACGAACAAAGTTTTAATCACGCCAAAGTAATATCCAATAAACTTTCATCCCATGCACATGGAATGGGTTAATTTTACTCTAATGTCGTCTTTCCTCCAGGCATATCAGCCTACCGTATTGAAATGTTGTGTACGAAAAGATCAAAGAGCAGAAGTGCAACTATGATAACTGAATTTCCAAAATGTAATTGAGTAATATGTGATTGAAAATTTATACCCCGAATACATGTATAAAAAATTACGAAATTATAAGCTTCAAATTTCAATTAAAACAGGGGGAGCATTGAAATTTTTCGGCAAGCATTAATTTACTCCGTCTTATGAACTTCGGCTCGCGCTATTTCTGAAATAAATTTTACTACAAAATGTTTATGCTGGCAGTTATTTCGGAAAAAAATATCTTTTTAATTCTTTAAAATGCAGATGCAGCGAACATACTGGTTCAGGGAAAAATCCTGATTTTATGCTCCCCCTCTCTCTCACATGAACCTGATTTTTCCCATCATACTCACAACTTGATGCCTTATTTTTGCCTCACATCGTTTTATTCCCATCAGAATTGTGTCTCTGCCGAAATGTTTCGTGGCCTGTGACCAGTACGGCATACCGAAATCCATATCTCGCTTTGTCCTGCCATTTGCTGGCACCATGAAGAGTGACGCCTCTGCCATTTTCATCGTCGGATCCTGCTTCTTCATCGCTCAAATGCAACAGATTACCTTGGATGCTGGCAAAGTCGTTATTATTGTGTACGTCTACACAGGAATAAGCGTCGATAAATTTTATAGCATGGTGGCTTATCCCAGTTTAATTAATACAGAATAATTTTTAAGTTCACCTGATTACTCTGAAGCCTGATTTATTTGCTAAGCTCAGGGAAGTTTCGTGAGTCTGCATATTTATTAGGCAGTCCTTGTACGTCACATCGCAAGTAGAACCTCAAGCAAATTTACCAAGCGCAAAATTTTAATTTTCAGTTCTACCATTTCAGATGAGTCCCAGCTACAAACGCGGAAGTCATTCGAGCTTTCTAACCTCTATTCTCCAGTATTAGTTGACGTTTTTTTTAATTTAACGGAGTTAAAAAATCCAGTGATAGACAGCACTGTGGTAAAGACTGCAGTCAAAGGAGGATAAAAAGAGTATAATAACTCAAATAATGAGCCAAGAAATATCAGATTGCCTGGTGTGGTGATTCGTGTAGGTCCTAAATGAGATTTCCATCCAGCGCTAAATTCAAAAAAGCCTGGGAAGGAACTCAGCTTCTAATCAGCAAGCTCAGACGCTCAGATTGAAACCGTCCATTAACTGGACATGGAATCAACCCAGTGCAGTTGGCGGCCTAAAACGGTCGAAAATATACGTCGACAAAGTAGACGGAGATGAGGATGAATATTTTTTGAATGCCAGTCTGAGGCGTTCACGTGTGTCCAGTTCGTCTAACCTCTTAACATTTTACTATCTGAGCTGCGGGCTCAAGTTCTGCCAAACGCTGTAGGGCAAAGTGCGTAGCATGTGGAGGAGGGGTGTCCACTGATGTGGCCCAGCTACCATACGGAATACGGACGCTCCGCATTGCCTCGGTCTCAAATTCACTGAGTCCCTCTGACAGCCTGGGAATTTTAACAACCTATATTTTTGTCATTTGTGACGCGAAGATAAATTCCTTAAGCTGAAGCATTAAACCGTAGCATCTAATCACACCATATCTGTTGTGTGTTTAAAATTACTATTAGCATCGAAATTAATGGGGGATTTTACACGCATTGGCCTCCACACCCCAATAATTGTCAACTGAAAGAACGCTGTCACCCGTCTCAATATGTCATTTTTCGTTTATTGCTTTTTAGTATCCTAGCCACAGCCTACGTTACCGCTTTGCCAAATATTCCCAGCGCCAGCGTTGTCGCAGTCATCACTATTCTTAACTCCATCGGTGTGGACAGTAAATTATCATCTCTCCTCTTCGCAGTTGAATGGCTCAAGTAAGTTAACTTAGTTTCCAACTTAAATAGTCTGCCATAACTCAGCAGTTCTCTGTCTTATTACAACCCGCGAATATAACAATAAAATCCCTGTTAAGCACAATAAAACCACATTGCCTCCCCAAAGTCTAACCACGATAAATAAACGCGCTTTCTCAAGAGAAGGCAAATTGCCGTTTATAAATTAATATTAAGTTTTTTATCAATACCAATTTTGGTAGAAAAGTGGGAAATTACGAAAACGTGAAAAATTGGTCTAACTGAGTAAATGAAGTTTTAAGTGTATAAGAAGCCTGCTCATGCAAAACAAATCAGTAAATAGAGCAGTACAAGTAAAATGACGTTTTAAATAGTCATTTTCGGAGATATTTTCCTCCGTATTATGTGCAATGAAAGTATGGCTGTTACCAAACAGTCCAAAATTCGATTATATATATATCCATAGATAGGAAAAAAACCACTCTTAAAAGTGTATTTACAGAAAGACAAAATAATTTTGCTGGCTATATTTCTAGCAATTGAAATCAATATATTTACAGAATGCATCCAAACCTTTTTAACTTCTTTTTGCTGCACAATAGTTTGGTGCGGATGTGAGTAATAATTGGTTATTTTCCTAATTAACATCCATATATTCATTTCAGCGATCGTCTCCGATCAGGCAATGTAGCCCTCTCGCACATGTACTGTACAACCTTCGTGTATCATGTGTGCAAAAAAAGCTTGCCAGAGGAGAAGGACGAGGATGAAGATGACGATGATGAGGACGAGGATGATGATGACGATGAGAAGAAGAAGGGAGGGGAGTATGAGAATGCGAGAAGCTCAAGCATCAAGAAGGCCTCAATTGCATAAGAGACTCAGCCCCCCTCCTCATCAGGACTAAAATATCCCTTTAACCCCAGCCCCCGACATCCACTGTCCGGTGCACCAGTGACCAAATGCTGACTTAAGTGAGGACTGGGCCAGATAATGTTTTTTCCTTTATGTACCTATTGACTCCTTCCCTCCCCGATATTAACGCCTCAGTCTGACGCACAATTTGTTCCTTACCGGACTCTTGAACCCTGTTTTATTACGTTATGAATTTCCAAAAGGCCAAAGCTGTATGTGTATCAGAGTATTACTATAAATACCAGACTTTTTGACGTTAAATACAATCTTGATATGACTGAGGAAATTGGGAAAAGGTCTTCGGCAAAATGAAACATTGGGTTAAGGTGACGCAAAACATCCCGAAACCTCGTTCTTAGTTCTCAGTAGTCTGCTTGGAAAACAGGGTTTGTGAAGGCAGAGGTCGTTGCAACATTTAAACTACCTCGCGTCGTTTTGTAACCGTGATAATGCTCAACTTTGGCCTCTTGTTTCAGTCATAAACACTTTTTAATCCATTGGAAGGAAAGTGAAAGGATCAGGCTAGCATACTAGATGTCAGACAAGAAAGAGAAAAGGAGTTTACTAAAAGATCAAAATTTCAGTCGATAAAGTTTTCTTTTGAATAAAATGTTGGTTAAACAACATTTCGGTGGACAAAGAAATTACTAAACATTGTGCACAAGTGAGCATGTAAAAATGTGAACAGAATTGTGCGGGAACCCATTTTTTCGTGTGTGGATCGCACAGTAGGTGGTCTAAATCATAAGATCCAAGGACTTTTACAAGTAACTCCCTGTTATTCAAAGGCAGCCCAACCGGGAAATTACAGCAGTACACTAATTTTCATTCTTCGTAATAAGGCATATTTCGTTGTTGAGAAATACCAGATTTTAGGCAAAAGGGAAAACTCCGAAGAAGTGAAAATTGGGCCTACTATGAAGAAGAAGAATGCTATATTGAGGATTGTAAAATCCTGAACTTTCAGCAAAA